AAATAAATATCAATATTGTTTTTTATAAATTTTAAATGTTTTATACGTTTAAGTCTCTCCCATAATCACTCATTTTGGAAGGTTTTATGAGCGATATTTATTTAAAAATAAACGGGAGCCTTCCGGGTGTTTGACCTGAGTTCAAACGTAATTTATTGTCTTTTATTTACTGTATTTATTATTTCCCTTTAAATACTTTCCCCATGAATACAAAACCTCAAAATTACCTTTGGTTACTAAATTAATGAGCTTTATTACCGTAAGTATTAATTTTATTTATTTGTCGTAATTTAATATATATATTAAAAAACTATTATTTTTTACTTGGAATCTAATTTTTTTCCAATCTTTATGTTAAACCCTGTATATTGTCGAATAAAAATAAAAGATTTGTTAAAAAACAAAGTACTTATTTTTTTAGATTGAACAATACGACGAAACTTGTTTGTTATTGATTTGATAAAATCGCATAGTTTACAAAATGTTTTCTTTCTGTTAGATCGCTAAAAATATAAATTTTTAATAAAAGCATTAAAAAATAAAAATTGTTTTTCTTAAATTAAGTTTGGGATTATAATAATGATGATTTTATAATTATCAATTCGTTTTTTAATATAGGTAAAATACTATAGTAGTTTTAAACAGCAATAATGTTTGCAAAAGTTTAATCAGAAACAAAAGCATCCAAGTAACATTCTGTGCTACCAGATTTATTTAAAAAATACGTTTTTGCACCGGTATCGGATTCTTAAAAAATATGTAATATTTTCTAAAAATTGTCATTAATTTATGTTGTATTTATTTTAACTTTTAACTAACCTGCCTTATTTAGCTGCTTTACAGTGTCCCACCTAGCACAAGTCGGTATTTAGGACGTAATAAGGAAAGCCTTACAGAATATTGCGATATCCCTCGGTGCGAGGACCTCGGACCTCCTTATGTGAAAAAAAAGCCCGGCTACATGGCCTTGAAGTCCAGGAAACCCGAATGGACGTCCTGGATGTGTCCTCTTAACGTCCCTGGGGTTATTTTTATTTTTGGGTATATTTAGCCCCTGAAGAATCCTCTAGATTAGCTAGCTATTATTTGCTACAGTGCAGACCAGCTCCACTCTAATCAGTATTCAGCTGTGCCATTACAAACGCACACCTACAACTGATATTTGTAACATATCGGTGCATATAGTTATCGACCTTTGGTGAGAGGTATTGCGACTATATTTGTTTATAACTTTGTTAATTAGTTATAATTTTAAAATTTTTAGTTTAACCTATTAAGTAAATAAAATGAATATTATTAATTAATTCAAAATAGGTCGACCCTTTGGGATATCCTAGGCAAGTAATTTAAGGATGTCTTTGGATCAACCTTAATGTCCCAGAATGGGATAAAAATATTAATTAAATAAAAATATGTATCCCATTCTGGGGCATTAAGGTTGGTCCAAGGACATCCATAAATTACATTCCTAGGATATCCCAAAAGGTCGACCTATGGACGTCCTTATAGATTCATCCCATTCTGGGACATAAGGCTGGTCCCAAGGACGTTTGTGCTTGCTGGGGTTCCATTCAATTATTCTTGTCGTCAAATCAACTCGTTAAATTAAATGTACCTAGTCATTTAAGCATGTCGCATTTAGGATTTTTGTTATTTCAGCCTGTCGCATTAAAGATTTCCGTCATGTTAGTTAGTCGTTATTTTAACTGGCATTTAAGCTTGTAATCATTTTCCTGGTCACTATTTTGTGTTTTCATGTTAGCTTGTTATTTTATTTTGTCCCATTTAAGCCTTTCATCGTAGCTTGTCAAATTTACGGTTGTCGTAATTTTAGCACAAAACTAAATGGTTTTAATATAAAAATCAAAATTTATAATTATATGCATCCATAATTTCTACAATTAAAAGAACAGGGGGTTGTTTTTTAAAGTTTATGAAAGTTTGGAAAATGGAATTACCAACTTTCGCTCAGGTTAGCCTTGAAATTGAAGTTAGTCTTACAAGAAGACGAAATACAGGAGAAGGAACTTGCTAGGCACGACAAACGTGTAAGTAATTATATAGCAACCCACGGTAGCAGTCTATGTCTATGAGTATTTGTAAATTACCCAGCCAGCAGTTTAGCATTTACCTATATTGTTTATTTAAAATTAAGTAGGCCTAAATACACTGGAAAGAAAATATTGTACATCTTATGCTCTTTAAAGTGGTTTGCAATGCTAAGTCAGCATAGGATTAATATATCAAATGTGTAAATACAAAACAAAAATGATCCTAAGATGATACCCTGAGGGACATTATATAAAATGCAAGCTTTGTCTGATTTCTCCTTATTAGTTTTTACAAAATGCATCCTATAATAACACTGCATAGGAAGAATTTACACATCTCAATACCATTGGGTATGATAAAGAATAGAAAACATAATTTCGTAATTAATGGTTTTAAAAGCCCAGTAGTCTTATAATATGTCCTCAATTTTCTATAGCATTTAAAGTATCATCTGTTATATTGAAAAAAATGGTATAACTATAACTTCTTTTAAATCCGGACTTAGCGGGTATTATTTTTTTAAATTTATGCTCCAAGAACTAAAAAGTTCATTTGTAAAATTTCCTACTTTATATCTGCCCTTAAATACAGTGTGTCCACGGATGGACTTGTAAAAATATTTATTTTCATTTTTTCATAATTTCTTCTGCTTGTTATATTAATACCATTCACGATGAGAAACTTCTATTTTGTTATATAGGTCTAATATAAAGAGCTTTTAAGGATAAACCAAAAAGCCAAATAAAGTTTTTTCATGTGAGTTGTTGTTGTTACTAAAATATTTGTTAATAAAAATAAAATCAGTGCAGGTCCTAACTTGAGTGGTCCCATTATTTCGTAGAAATTAACTGCTATCTCATTTTGTGATTATGAATCAAGGTTGTTGCTTTCAACTGACACGTCTACAATGTCTACAATTATTTGTTAAAATTTGAAAACTAATATCTTAAATTTTAATATCAAATATCTTCATTAGACTTTTTGATTTCTTCTTACCGGCTCTTTATATTAGCGCTTCAAAAAAAAATATTTAAAATTTTTTTATTTTGAAAATCTGTATTTTTGCTCACCCTGTACAATAAAATGGATGTTTCTAAACGCGAATCGTATTTATATAACAAGCAAAAGAAATTATGAAAAATGACTTTCTCAAAAAATTGTAAATAAATATTTTTACAAGTATAGTTAAGTCCATCCGTGGACACACTGTATATAGCAACATGCCCACCTCTTAAGCATTAACTGGTCATTCAAGCTTGTTATCATTTTAGCTTGTCGTCATTTTAATGCAAAACATAAGGTTTTTTTCAAATAAAAATTACTTTTGTTCTTTACCACTTAAAATTGGAGTGTGTTTAATTTTTAAAATCTGCTTCACGTTAAAATTTGATATAAACCAAATTGGTCACCTGTCTTGTTTTAAGTCTTAAAGATGCATATTGTTCTATCTATATATAATTGGGGTAGAAATTGTACAGTTTAAGGCTTAAACTGTACAATTTCTATTCCAATTATATACAGGGTGTTTCATAATATATGCGCAGGACTTCAGGATGTGATAGCTCAACCAAAAAGATGAAAAAAGTTGCTATTAACTTACCCTCTAAAATGCACAATTTTCGAGATACAGGGTGTTGAAATTTTAGAAAAAAAAATCCTTTTTTTCGATTATCTCCGGAACCGTTTATCGTACAAAAAACAGCTTTTGTAAGCATTTTCTACTCAAAATAAGCTATGTTTTGTGCCAGAAAAAAAATTTTTTTTTACTCATAATTGGTGGAGATTTTGAATGGGTAGCGGGCGTTTTTCTCCTCAACTTCTAGGCCCCTGAAAACGTACGAACCGCCAATGTTTTCTACACAAAAAAGGTACTCTTGGACATAAGCTCTAAACTTTAGAGTCTAAAGTTGACCGTTTTCGAGAAAAATCAACATTTATGTTTAAAAACATGGTCAATTAAAAAAAAAAAAATTTTATTACTAATTAAACAAAATTTATTTTAACGTTAGAAAAAGTAACAAAACCAAACGATAATTGCAAAATTAAAAAAAAAATAAAAAATGATTTTTTACACAAATGCTGAAATGTGCGAAATGCGTTACCTTTACGGTTTGGAGAATTTAGCAAAGACAACTTTTGAATCATTTTTTATTTTGCAATTATGGTTTGGTTTTGTTACTTGTTCTAATGTTAAAATAAATTTTGTTTAATTAGTAAAAAAAATATATTTTTTTTAAATTGACCATGTTTTTAAACATAAAAGTTGATTTTTCTCGAAAACGGTCAAGTTTAGAGCTTTTGACCACGAGTACCTTTTTTGTGTAGAAAATATTGGCGGTTCGAATGGGCCTTTCAAAACCGTACTTTTTTCAGGAGCGTAGAAGTTAAGGAGAAAAACACCCGCTACCCCTTCAAAATCTCCACCAATTATGGGGACAAAACATAGCTTATTTTGAGTAGAAAATGCTTACAAAAGATGTTTTTTGTACGATAAACGGTTCCGGAGATATTCGAAAAAAACGAATTTTTTTCTAAACTTTCGTAAGTTAATAGCGACTTTTTTCATATTTTTGGATGAGCTATCACATCCTGAAGTCCTGCGCATATATTATGAAACACCCTGTATATAGATAGAACAATATGCATCTTTAAGAATAAAAACTAAACTAACCTCAATTTAAAAAAAAAGCAGATAGAACACTATAATTCTCACGTTACGCAATGTTATCACATACTATAATAATAAAATAAAATAAACTTTAAATAGCTTAATAATGGGTAAACTTTTCTTTAATAATAAATAAAAAATACAAACAAGTAATAATTTTTAAACCAACAAAAAAGGTTTATGAAAACTTTTTAAACACGCAAGGACTTTTTTAAAGCCATCCACTTGAAGCAATTGAGTTCTTTATGAGCGCAAACTAAAAAGAAGATTTTTTTCTTACCAAGTAGGCCTTAAGAAATGTTAAGCACACTTCACATGCGGTTTTAAAGTAATCTGAAAGCACGACGCCGTCGTGACGGCAACTGGACGCTCACTTCGCAGAACTTTTCAGGGCGACGCGTCGCGAAATACTGGGAATGTCAAAAGGCAGGGACGCCGAAGTGCACATGCGCTTTGCCGTGTAGCCACATGGACTTTGCGATCATTTAACTGGTTTTGTCTTTGGATTTTTGATTGGATTTTGGTCTGACTGGAAGTAATCTGCGATTTCTGCTATTTTATTTTATTTTCGAACCTATTTTAACTTTTGCTTCTTACTTAAATTCCTGTGATTTATAAATATTAAGTTTTAGTCCTTCGCAGGGGACTTTAAGCCCGCGGTTTTTCATACCCCTAACTTCTTAGGAAGAGGAAGAGCATTTTTTTGTAGTCCTTATTATTAAAAATAAGGTATTTCGTGGACAAAAATAATTATAAGTTAGTTATAATGTAAAAATATATCATTGTTTCTGTCTTTAAGAATATTAATTTCTTTAATTAGCTTCTTTAAAAGGATTTTGACAGTTTTGTGTACAAATTAATGAGGTTCTATCTAACCTTGTCTTATTTTTTAAAAATAATGCAATACATATTTTTTGTCCTTTAAATTAGGACCTTTATATACAAAAAATACGAAAATTTTATTATTTTTTTGGAAAAAAGGGAAAATATGCGTTAAACTGACATATAACCTCAATTATTTGTATTCAAATATCAAGGTTGGCCTTTTTAATGTTGAGCAAATGAGTTTCAATTAATAACAAAAATTAGCTTAAAAAACTCCTACCTGAAATATAGCACATGAAGGGATCATTTCAAGAAGTGCCTAAGTCACATTTTCAATAAAATTGACATTGTGGCGCTAAAACAGTTTCACTTCAGCTTTCAGGTGGTATTTGCAGAGTGGCAGAAATATGTGTCTAAGTGCCTTAGTTTGCATTTACTTCAATGGGAGTTTACCTGGTTATCAATGCAAGAAGTACCTAAGTCATCATTTTGACAGATGCAATGCAACATGAGCCTTAGTCCACGTTATTTAAATTATGTTATATCTAAACAAATTACCTATTAAACTGTGTAAATCCTAATAATTTGTGTCTGTGATTAAAAACATAACTATGGCAGGTAAGAAAAGTAAAATAAAATAGATTGTGGAACCTTAACATACCAGTTACCGTTTTTTTGCTCGAACCTTGTCTGAAAATGGAACTATAATCCAGCAAAATGATGTCATTGATAAAGAAATTGATCAGATACAAGAACCCGACGCTGTTTATGAATAGCCAGCCTTCTTATTATATTCTTAGTTTTGATTTAAGTTATGTACTAAGTTATGAGTTTTGTTCACAATTTATATATTTTTTACGGCGTTATAACATAATAAATCTTTTTTTAAGTACCTATAAACAAATTTTTCTTCAAAATATTCCTTAATTTTTGACAAAATAAAAACATTTCAACACAAAAAAATCCCTAAATCCCAAAGTATTTTATATAATTTTTTTTAATATAACAAAACGTTTTTTCTTTTTTAATCATGGAAGCCTAATCCACTTTTCAAAAAGAATACAATACAACACACATTTTCATCATATTTTGTGTAATATTTCATAATCAAAAATAAACCTTCAAACCGCAATATCTCAGAATCACCTATTTGTGACTAAGGCACTTCACATGCAAAACGGTTAATAGGAGAATTTTTGTTTTTTTATAAATATGGCTTTTACTTTTTCTTAACAATAATTATTATTATTTTTTTAGGTTGGGGTATACGTTTCTTCTAATATTGTGTCATGTTTTTATACAAAAATCTCAATTTTTCTTTTGGAAATTCTCAATTATTTCTTGTTTTTTTTTCTATTTATTTACAGTTTATCTTAATGTTGACCTTAATTTTGTATACGTTATTTTTCCCATTTAATTTAAATATTTGAAAAAAAATAGTGGAAAGATAAAAAATAATACAAAAAAGCAATAGAACATTTTAATTATTTTTCTACTCCCACCTTTAAAACGAGCAATATCGTACATGTTTCCATGACACTAAGTGACTTTTTAAATACGCATTGACAAGTTGTGGATTTACGGCGTTTTAGTCACGGGCTGAAGTTAGCCACAGGTTTTTAGTCACGGACTGAAGTTGTCAAATGTCATACAATCGTTAAAATATTACTAAATGTGAAAATTATTTTATTATCTCAATACAAAAGTTTCTCAACGCCAATATTTGAAAAGTTTATATAAATATTGTACTGACCTTTTAATTTCGCCGGCAGTAAACTAAAACTTAAATTCGGGCACGGACTCCACTGTAAAGTGCTCATAAAACATTTTCTTTACTTTTACTGTAAAAAACTGACCATTTCCAAGAAATACATTTCGATTTATAATCTGTTTTTATAAACTATAAAAATTTGACATTTGACGGTGACACACAGATTCCCCTATTGTTTCATAGATGGCGCTCTATAAAAATATTTGATTTAAATGATTTTAAAATGCACCTCGTTTATCAAACTTGATACATAATATACTATTTTCTACTCCCTCCTTTAAAACCCCCATTATCTTAAATATTTTCATGACACTATACACTGTTATAAAAATCACATTTGTTAAAATGAGTTTGTAGTTTTTTAATTTTATTCTGTAAAATTTTAACATAATATTTTGTATTAAACCAGGATTTGTGATTATTTTATCAAAGGAAAATATTTTACCAAAAGTTTTGTAAAGGTAATATGAAATTTTTTTAATTTTCACAAGTTACAAATTGTTTTGTTAATGTTTAACCCATTATTTTGTTGAAAAAGTACACGTGATTTAGGCAGCCAATCAAAAAATTTCTCACTGAACTTCAGCGTCTGCCACTTATGTTTCTGCTTACTTTATTTTAATTCATAACGTGTTCGTAACAACTGTCCAGAGTGTTTATAATTTATTACCAGAAATCTTTTATTATTGTTATTTGGATTTCTTATACCTATTTAAAGAGTGTGCGAAGTATCCGAAAAAGATGCCATCACTGGGTTTTAAACTGATATTAGGGGATACACTCAAGTGGATTCAAGTTACGAAATATATTAATCAGAAAGTGTTGGAAGCACTGATAGTTATATTATACCAAATTTATAATTTGATGATGGTGTGTTATTTAATTGCGTCTATGTTATTTTTGTATTCATTTACGTAGGTATGTGTTAAATTTTTTGTTTAGGAAATTGATTAATAAAGGAGCATTTTTTATAAAAATTCCTTTCATTTAAGTTTACAATTTCCAAAAAATACTTTTGTTTCTGGGTCTACAAAAAGGTGTGTAAAAGTGCCCTTATTGTAAAATGATATTAATAGGTGAAAATTATTTTATTATCTCAATACGCTAAATTTTTTACAGATATTCTCGTTTGTACTAACAATTTGATTTTGTCGGCAGCAAACTATTTGCCGATAAAGCATTAATAATTTCGGGTGGAGTACCCATAAAAACATCCTTTTCACTTTCACTGTGAACAACTGCTTCCATTTTGGATTTAAATGGTTATTAGTCTATTTTTAAGGAAAGAATTAGACTTTTACAGAAAAATAGGACAAATGGACCCTGTCATTTGGAAAGCCCGTAAAACAAATTTTAAACTTGATACATACTATTTTTTATAAAACTATTTTTATTTATAAGTATGTTGTTTGAAATGTATCGCCATTTTTTTATCTGTCAATTATAAAAGTGTTTAAATTTAAAAAAACTTAGCGAATGGAAATTGTAAAAACGCACTATAAAATAAAAGATTCTACGAACAAGAAAAAAGTGGGGATAAAAAACACCCCTTCATGGAAAACCCTTTATTATAAAAATACTTTTGGTAATAGAAAGAAGATTGTTCTAGGTACGCATAAAACCCAGCAGGATATTACATAAAGCAGTATAAAGCAGGACAATATAGAGGAAAATGTAATGAATGGATAATGTGAAATAAAATGCTCTGCTATTAAATAAAATTTATTTAAAAAAGCACCTAAATAACTTAACATAATGCAAAGCTTTAACACAAAAATTTAATTTTTTTCCTACATTATGGTAAAGTTGAATCTTACCGTCTCCAAGTAGGTGTTTTTATGGCTAGCCTTGCGAAGGTAATTACAAATACTTTTTTTTACTTTTTCCAATAGAGGGTGCTGTTATAATAGGTTTAATTAAAATTTAAAAATAGACATTTTGCGATTGTAATTTTTGGTTTAAAATAATCGGTCTACACTCAGAGAAATATCATGTCATGAAAAGCATATGAAATGATATTAATTTAAATAATCGGGTAAATTTGATTCAAATAGAAAAAAATGTAGTTTTATATTCATTTACCAAACAGTTTTACAATGTTTTTAAACACTTTTAAAGTGTACTCTTTTTAAAATATATATACAAAAAGAAATCTATTTATTTCATTGCCTTTCTCAACGTTATTTTAAAAATATATGTATTATACAATTGTTATACACCTTTTAATTTAATGAGAAACACCAATGACGCCAAAACATATTTGAATCCCTTTGAATTATTAGGGATTCAAATATGTTTTGGCGTCATTGGTGTTTCCCATTAAATTAATAGGTGCATAACAATTGTATAATACATATCTTTTTTAAACAACTTTGAGAAAGGCAATAAAATAAATGGATTTCTTTTTGTATATACCTATATTTTAAAGAGGGTACACTTTAAAAGTGTTTCAAAACATTGTAAAACTGTTGGTAAATGAATGTAAAACTAAAATTATTTCTATTTGAATCAAATTTACCCGATTATTTAAATTAATATAATTTCATATGCTTTTCATAACTTGATATTTCTCTGAGTGTAATAAAATCTAATTATATAATTGTTCTCACAACTATCAATGTGGAATTTAACTGTCAGATAGACTAACTGGAACTTAAGCAGAGATTGATAAACCGGCCCTAAATCATATTAAAAATTTAATTTGTTTTATAAAAACTATTTCATTGTACGCTTAGTTAATTTATTTGATGGCTAAAAAGAAAACGCTTCAAATAATATTTTGTAAAAAACAT